AGCTCAAGCTGGCTGGTACAATAGCAGCCACAGCTGATTTCTTTGCTTCTAGGCCTGTTGCAGATTGAAATACTGCTGTGTTTAGTCATGTTCCAGCTGCCTTTTTATAAGGGTATTATTTCTGGTATGTAGGAAAGTTTTGGGTTGAGTCTCTTGAGAACTGAGTTGAGAAATGGAAGTGGTGTCGTGTTGTTTTTGTTGTTGACTTTGTGAGGAAAGGTAGCTGCACTTTTACTGTAGATGTTAAAATTTCAGTTACGCTTCTCTCTCCCAGGATTTTGAAGAAGGATGTTTTCTACTCACAAAATGTGATGCCATTCAAACAAGTCAACAGGAAATCTACCCTACTGACAAAGGAAGTGTTATAGTATCTTTCTTGTCAACTATGTTCAGACCTTTTGTGGAAGGTTATCAGGTATGCAGTTCTTTAGAAAATTGTCTTTTTTCTCCTGTGTTTTATAGGGAAACTAGGAGAGCTGTGATGCTTCTGCAGTATAAATAGATACTTTTCATGGCTGGGGAGTGCAAGAGTTGCAAAATAGCAGTAATAAGTATCTTAAACACCACCCTTGCCCCAGGATCCCTATGATGGGCCACTGTGGGTGTATAAGCTTCATGGGGAGTGTGCTACTACCAGTTTGATTGTTCTTTCTTACAAGGAGCTCTTGCTTAATTCATTTTATGTGGGCTGTCCTGCCAGGTGCGGAAATGAGTTTGCATCTCGTATCTGATAGCTTTTTTGGGGAGTCATTAACTGCATCCATATCTCTTCAAAGTCTTTTGGTTTTCCAAGGTTTTAATAAGACTAAACACTTACATTCCTTAATAAGCAATGTATGTGAAAGGAGGAGGCTAAAATCTTGGGTATGTCAGCATAAGATTGGTAGGACTGTAGACATCTGAACCTAGTGGAATCCGTTCATGATCTGCTGTATGACTTGGGATGAACTGTACTGATTTGCCCTGTTTTTCCCATGTCTAAAACAGATAATTGCTTTAAGAAAAATATACTACTTTGATTGTGAGAACAGGAATGTTAAATTAATGTCTAAGGTAACTATTATAGTAATACTGAATCAGATTTTAATATCAGGATTCTCATGCCTGTTAAACAGTAATAAAAATTTCAGATGCTTTATGTAATGATACCTTTTGAATTCCTCTCCTACACTTCTCAAAGTGTAACAGCATTACTTAAGAGGACACGTCTGTAATTCATAACAAGCTGATGATCAAAAGAAAAGAAGTGCTAATTTTAAAAAAAATTTTAGTTAATTTTCAGATACCTCTCAAAGGAAACAAAAGAAGTCTTTACTGAGAAGCAGTTTATACCTGGAGTCCGCAACTTTGTTTTTCAACTTCTTGAGAAGGGTGTGTACAGTCATTATGCAATATGATTTTACAAGTGTAGCCTGTTAATGGACAGTGATAAAACTTTTAATTGTGTTTCTCTGTAGGGAATACGCAGTGTTATGAAGCACTGTCTTCTGACATGCAGAAAAATGCCTTAGCAGCTCTTGTGCAACTAGGTGCAGTGAAGAAGAAGAAAATGTAAGTAACATTGGATTTTTGGTGTGCAGAAGTCAGTGTGTGGTCTTATTGGCAATTCTTAATGACTGAGCTACTAGTATGAAGCAGAACAGCCTGAGATCAGTCAGATGAATGTTGTTTGGATTTACCTGAGTTGTGGTGAAGACACAGGTAGTTCCTTTCTGTACACGTTGTAGAAGATGAATGGCACCCCCTCATAGTGAAAACACTCCTGTGGGACCCAGCAACAAAATTCGTTAATTTGCCAGTAGGCTGCTTCTGACTCCGTTTACCTTTTAGATTTCAAAATTTCCTCCAAGGCTTTGATAAGCAGAGAGAACAGTCCTGCTTATTTTGAAAAGAAGAGTTACTCTGTGTATTGAAACAAGCCTCATGAGGCAATGTAAGAAATAATCAGGAATACTACTAATTTTTGGAGGGTTTCTAACTGCAAGTTTAGTCAATAAAGTCTTTTTATGTAGTTCATATCTTATAGGCCCAAGATTAAAACCCAACTATTGTTATACAAAAATACAGGGATATGCATTTCTTGTTATCAAATTAATCTGTGTTGTGGTGCTTCTCACTGTATTTAAAAGTATAACCGTGGAAGTCCCTGATATAACAAGTCCCCACATTGTCTTGAATGTTTCACAGAACTTAGTTGGCAACTGATGGCCCTGGGCTACTTTCTTATGCCTCTGTTCAGGAAATGAATTGGTTAAGGTTTTTAATGCTCTTGGACAGTACTCTGTGCACTTTCCATCACTGTGCTGAATAGTTGTCTATAGCTAAATTCCCCTTTCAAGTAAAAGGAATAAATTAATGCAACAGAATTTGACATCAACTGAAGATTCGGTTCAGTTTCAGAGAGACAGTCTTGAAAATGATATGGTTGAAAACAAACATTTTCTTCCTGCAGTTGTCCCTAATAAAAAAAAAAAAAAGAAAAAGAGATTCATGGGGACTGTGACCAAGGGGAAGGATAAAGAAACCATAACTTCCTCAAATACAATCTGCTTAGAAGCCTGCCCTGTCCTTAAAATTAATATGTGTGCTGTCAGGATGAAAAATACGATGTAATTATGAAAATGTTGTTTATTTGTATAAAAATGTCTAGAATAGGAAATAGTCATTGAAGAAACAGGTTTTTTTTCTTTTAACTGCAGGTCCAATGGATTCACTTACAATGTAAATCAAGAGGCTGTTAGTAAAATCCTGGACATGTTTGGTAAGTGTTCTCTAATGAATTTGAAAAGGGGTTCTCAAGTTGTAAATTAACTTTGGACAATGCATGTATGTTAGATGTATTTTCCTTAGTAGTTCCTTAGATTTTTCTGTATAAAAAACCTAATGCTTTTTTTACAATACTTTTTCTGACGTCATTCACTGCAGCTTTGAATCTCCTTTATTTGAAATACTGTGCAACCCAATGACCAAGGAAAATTAAGCAAAAAAAGTAGTTTAACAGTGTTATTTACACCATTTTGATGATAGTATTTTTTCCTCGTGTTAGATGCCAGGATACCTGTACAGAAACCTGTGGCTGCACGACTCTGAGTGGCTCCTGATGCTGTGAGTGGATGTAAGCACCTGCTGAGAGCACCCACCGACACCCAGCAGAGCCGGGCGGGAGCTGGCCGGGTTCCCCTCTTGCCCGGCGTGGCCGGCCTGAGAGGCTGAGGGTTCTCCCTCAGCAGGGTGGCACGCCATTACCGCTTAGAAACTGTTGCTGCCAAGGGTTAGAGTTGTATTTGTATCCTCACTGTGTTTTGTTTTTTAAAACAGATTAAACATTGTCTTTTTTTTTTTATATATATATATATATTTAAAGAGACGTGTGCAGTAATGGCTACTTAAATACATTTTTCTAGACTTGTAACAAGGAATGTGATTGGTTTCAAGTATTTCATGGATGTGAAAATGTAAAAGAGAATTAAAAGAATTGCTATTAAAATTAATATTTAGAAAAATACGTTGCTGGCTGGGTAAATGTAAGATAAGGCCCTAGGAATGAAGAGCACAAATCAGATCTTGGGCCACAACCAGAAATGTTAATTGTGTCGGGTTTGGTTTTGGCATTATTTTAAAAATAGTATTAAAGCAGCGTCGTTACCGTGTCTGGAGGCCTGCCCGCTGCTGACTGCGGCCTCCCCTCGGGCCTTCCGCCCTTCCCGCCTCCGCTCCGCTCCGACAGCCACAGCCGTGAAGGGTGGAGCGGCGGGGGGCGGG